AATATACGCGATGCCACAGAATTGTACATTTAAAAATGTACATGTAAAACTTTTAAATGATAATTTAATGTCACTTGTATTTTACCATGGTGAAATAATTTTCTACATAGGTCTACAGATTCATATTCCTTTAGACTTCAGGTGGCAATCTGACTCTCTCTTAATAAGGACATTATGAAATGAGCGTGTGTTGTCTTTATATTGGCACATAGTAATATTCTGCTTAAAGCGAATCTGGACAGTACATAGAAACAAAGCAGAAGAAAAACAAAATAGGTATTTAGTAGTGGAAATGATACAGAAGTAAAAGTATTGTTTTCATGTATATCTTCCTAATTGCTTGTCTTACACTTTTATTTCAGAATTCCTATCCTATAAAAGTTTGTATGATTTTAGTTTTATTATCAAGTTTATTTGGATATTTCAAAGAACTGGCCCAGATTTTCCAACAGGTAAAAAATACATTTCATGTCTCTAAAGTTGTAAATATTTTAATATGCAGAACATAAATTAATTGATAAATTATTAGTAGTACATATCAATATAAAGTCACTACCTTGATAAATGTATAGATTGGAAATACCAAACATAAACTTTTTAAAATATAGAATTCACATGATTTTAGATAAGCTCTCTGCACTGTTATGGTGCCTTTGATATTTCTGAAACAGAGATGTTCCAGTTTTACTAGGCTATAGTGGGTCTGCTCAGCTACGAATGAACTCTGTTTTCTCTGACAGCAGTTTAATAATTTGCTAACATAATAGTTAGATTTTTAATTTGATAATTTTTAATGTGTTTATAGAATCGTACACTTGAAACCTGTATAATTTTATCACCAATGTCACCCCCAATAAATTTAATACAAATTTTAATAAAAGAATTTACTTGGCTCAAGGCTCCATTTCAAATGAGTCTTTCTTTGAATTCCTTTCCTAACAGGAATGCTTTTCTTTATTGAATAAAATTTCAAGTTATAATACAATTTGGAAACTTTTACGGCATAACTTTTACTTTATACTCTATTTTTTTAAACGAGTGAACCAAGTTCAGATCAGACCCAAGAATTATGTAAATTATCTGCAAGTCTTTGCTTTGGTGGATAAATGGCATCAATCTTTTATTTCTAAGTCTTTTGTTATCTATTTTGGGGGTATACTTCTTGTGAATTTGGGGGTATTATTTATTTTTTTATAAGTTATACACCTTTTATACAATACCTCATTTTCTATGAAAATTTCCTGTTACGTAATATAAACACATGGGTATTTGCATGATGATAATAGTGCTTTGCATCTGTTTGATAATATACATTGCAAGTACATATATGTGTGTGTGTGTGTGTATATATATATATATATACACACATGTATATATATATATATACACTTTCAGTAAATTGTCACAGTTCTGAGAGTTAGACTGTTGTTCCATTGTACATTAAATGATTTAGGGCATATTACTTAATCTCATCATGATTTTCATTTTTTAAACATGAGGATTACAGGTAATAGTCTATATTGAAGTGTAAAATTATATGATTTCTCTATCAGATTTGTTTTCATATTTTCTTATTGATACTTATATGGTCTATGCTACATGACATCTTTAAGAACAGGAAGTAACACCAAATCATTATGATAACTGAGTCCTGGCACAGGCATCGCACCCCCTCAGCAGCAGCTTTAATTCGTTTGCATCCTGAGAAGAGTCCACGTGCACGTGGACTCTATGGGGAAAGCCCAGACACTCATAGACTGTCCTGAGGCATCAGAGTCCTGACGTGCCAGGTCAGCACAAGAGGCTGGGCCACCTCCAACAACGATGTGACCAGGCCTGTGGGTTCAGTCCAGGATGGCAGGTGCTGGCTCCTTGGCGCTAGACTTCTCCCCAGCCGCAACGCCAGAAAAGCGTTGTTAGTTACTGGTTACACATATGTGACCACCCATAAGACGAAAGGCCTTGGTCTCTACATGTGGTAACTCTTCATTCTTTCCAACTCCAGAAAAGCACTTACTTTTTGGATAATAACAATGTCACTGAATGGATCATCTACACAACAAGCATCATTTTCGTGTCTCCCTTGTTCGTCGGTATACCAGCTCACGTGCAGTGGCAGTGCGGAGCAGTTGCTATTCACTTATATTGGATGAACTTCTTGTTGTATCTTCAGAGGTAAAACCAGTTGGAATGATTTCCATATCTTTCAGGCATTTTTAATGTCAAAAGAAGAACCATTATAAGTACCATAAGTTTATAGTTCGCTCAGTCCTTTTCCAGTTGTTTTAGACTGTGAAGGAAAGGGGGAGGGAGGCTTGGAGTTCAGAGTGTGGACCCGGGCTTCTCTCAACCCTGGCATTTCTGAAATTTGGGGCCAGATAATTCTTTGTTGTGGGGAGCTGTCCTGTGCACTAACGAACGTTTAGCAGCATCCCTGGCCTCTACCCGCTAGATATCACTATCACCCCTCCCCGACACCGGTGACAACGAAAACATGTCTGCAGATAATTGCTAACTATCTTTGGGGTGAAAAATCATCCCAGGTCAAGAGCCACCAGCTTAGACAAATCTAGATTAACTGTGGGGAGTAAATGGGTATAAAAATATTGGCTAATCTTGTTTGATCTGGTAGTATTTGGTAAGCATTTATTTAGATTAAAACGATCAAAATGAGGCGGTAGGTATGGGGAACGATAGCGATACAAGGGAAAAAGTAAACCCAAAGAATCTAATTCTAGAAGGGAAAAAAGGGCTAAGCCCCCCCCCCCCCGTCTTCCACAATCACTAATGTAGAGTTAAACGGGTTATGTCACGTAACCTTCACAATAGCGAGAGGTAAATGCTAGTCCTTGGTGTATAAAAGATACTGAAGCACTAAGTGAAGTAACTTGCCCAAGATCTCAGCTAGTAAGACAGAGGTAGGCATTTCACCAAGGACTTTCCACTCTCAGGGACCACGCTTTCCCCAGCACGTGGTCTTCACTGCTGTATCGTGAGCACAGAGCTGTGGGCTGAGTCCCAGCCTCTGGACAGGACATGACATAGTGGGAAGAGCAGTGGCTTCAAGACAGGTCCAGGTAGTGCCACTCTCTTGGCTTTGTCATTACCAGTGACTTTGGTGAGTCCCTGGAACTTAGTTTCTAAGATCTCCGAAGTCCCCTTCAGCTTTAAAATCTGGTGACTCCCTTTTTAACAAGGTGTCTTTGCCAAAGGAAGAGCACAAGTTAGGGCCAGATGACCCTCGCTATCTACCCAAATATTTCACAGTATAGGCTGCTGGGGGAGAAAAAGGAAAGCTCAGGAAGCTGTGAGGTTGGCGAACGTGAACACTGGGTATGTGCCCCGTGACAGGTGGCTTCGGGTGCCTGAGCTCATTCTGTCACTCCCCACCGGAAGCGCCACACAGGTCCTCCCCCGACTCCCCTTCCCAAGCATGTGGCGGCATCTCTGACACTGGGAAGCTCTGATTTCTCCCTCCTACTGTGGTTGAAGTAATGCCCAGTGGTCAAGTGGTAAAACAATCAAAGATTGGTTGTTGACAAGAAGGAAAAAAAGAAGAAACCAAGCAGGTTCCTGAACAGCTTGAAAATAAGACTTGACTATTCATAAATTCTCATGAGTCCTTTTTGGAAGTAACTGTCAATGATCTCATCCGTGAAGATGATTACCCAGTGCGTGACAAACGCTGACACTGATCGAGGTGCACCTGGGTCAGAAAAGTAAATAAATATTTTAATTTTTCAAATTTTCCTAGATTTGAAAACTGTGGAATTTTCATTGTTATGTTGGAGGTAATTATGAAAACTTTGTTGAGGTCTACGGTCGTGTTTGTCTTCCTTCTTGTGGCTTTTGGACTCAGCTTTTACGTCCTCCTGAGTATACAGGTGAGGCAGTTGTGTCAGGGGTTGATTTTGTTGCTATGACTATTGGGAATATATATTTATACTTAAATCTTGATGATGTAGAAAGTTAATAATATGATATTTGAATATTTTAATTTTATCCGATATATTAGCATTCAAATAATTTTTATTTTGGGAAAAAGTATCATCTTACCAAATAATTTTTTCCATAGTCAAAAAGTTTATGTATAATGCACGATGACTTGTTATATGTGCAGAAAAGATCTTTTTGATGACTTTGCCACCAGTGGTTCTTATCACTGCATTTTAGTAGCTATAGTGCTATGACTTTATATTCTTTAGGCGAGGCAACCCTTGGTTGACCTCACAGATTACAAGGACCTTGTCTGCTTACGATCCCTTATTTTTTTATTTTTCACAACTACAGCACCTGGTCTTCCTAGGTCGTCTCCTATCCAAGTACTCACCAGGCCCGACCCTGCTTAGCTTCCGAGATCAGACGGGATTGGGCTCGTTCAGGGTAGCATGGCCGTAGACTATAATGCTATGACTTTTAAAAATAACTATGAGTTTTATCATTTTATTCTCCGAGAAAAGTTTTCTCATTATGCGCATTCTGCATTTCGTTTTTACCTGTCTTCTCAGGATGCTTTCAGCTCTCCATTGCTCTCCATAATGCAGACCTTCAGCATGATGCTAGGGGATATTAATTATCGCGATGCCTTTCTAGAACCGTTTCTGAGAAATGAATTGGCATATCCAGTTTTGTCCTTTGCACAACTTATTGTCTTCACGATGTTTGTCCCAATCGTCCTCATGAATTTACTTGTAAGTAATTTATCCTTGTACTTCCTGTTTGTCGATCATTTGGGGCATTTAATAATAATTATTCTTGGCCTCCTTAATCTTCCTCCATGAAGGGAAAAAGGGACACCTAGAAAATTCATTTGTTCAACATTCATTTAGTGCCTGGCGTATGCCAGGCACAGTGTGGGGCCCAGTGATGCAAAGATGCATTCACTTGGCAAATATTTATCAAGAAGTTCTAAATGTCAGATACTGACCAGGTGTTGGGAGATAATGGTGAACAAAACAGATCAATACCCAGTCCTTATGTGATAAACTAGTCATGAAGTTACGCAGTAAACAAACAACTGTGTAGCATGATGTCATGGGGGTGGTAAATGCTATGAAGAGCTGCAAAGCAGAATACAGAAGTAAAGATGAATGGTGTGTGCTGCACGAGGGCGGCAGGGGAAGTTCAGAGGTTAGGGAGAGACCGTGGAGTGAAGGAGTAGAACTCGTCTCTACTCTTGAGTTTCTCATGGACCAGAGTTTAAGTGGGGAAGCGCCTCTCATGCAGGTGCCGCATCGACACCAGTCAAAGGCTGGCCCCCCTCAGCAGACAGGAGCGTGCCCTTCCACAGAAAACCTGCTCCGGCCATGAGCACCTGGCTGAGGCAGCAGAAATCATCCCAGGTCCGTGGAGCGCCCCGGCCGCCATCACACGGCGTGTCGTTTTCTTGATTCATTTTCTCGTATGTGTGCACATTCAATACACTTTTTCTGAGTCTGACTGTGCACCAGGGACTGTGTTAGGCAGAGTTTCTGGAAAGAAAATAATACAGACCACTTAATGCTTCAATTCACCTACTTGATACAACTCTCAAGTTTTCTTTTGGTGACCTAGGAAAATGAAAGATGCCACTAAGAATAATAAAGAACGATATAAAGCCCACACTCGTCTCTCAGAATCACTTATGTTTTGGGAGATATTTACCGAGAGAAGACTCTGGCTTAGCAGGACAGTTTGGTGTCATTCTCATGATCCACACATCCGGCGCCCGCTGAGCAGCCCTACCTGCCCATCCCAGAGGATAAGCAAACCCAGCAGAGCCAAGACCCACCACGTTCTCTGTCCTTCGAACTCTGACTCAGATCATTGGAAGATAGTCTACATCCACCCACCCCCTTTTCCTCCGTGCTTCCAACAAATGTCTGCCTCTTAGCCTATTTCCCGAGAGCTTGTACCCCCACGGTTCCACACCCATCCCGCTGCAGGAGACCGAGGAGTCTCCATCTCGGCTCACTTCTCTGTCTGATCCTTCCTGCAAATTGTCACCGAAGTGATATTCTGTTAATGAAAAGCTGGGCCTGTCTGTGGCTCTTTCAAATTTCTTTCTATGACTCTTCAAAAGCTTCTACCCGGTCAAACCCATGAGCACAGCATGCAAAGTTCCTTGTGATCCAGGACTCGCCCTGATGTGACCTGACCCCTCGCTGCTGGCAGCGTTTGTCCAGACACACACGCCACACACACTCACTGGGTGTGTCGGGCTCTCCCTCCCACTGCCAGGGCTCTGCGCTTTTCCTGGGAAGCCTCCTGCCCTGGGATGACCTTTTCAAAGCTTTCAACTTTCAGCTCAAGCATCATCTCTCCCGGGCAGACTTTCCTAAGCAGCTTCCCCACCCCAGAAGCACCCCGGTCTGAACTGGGTGCCCCTTTCTTGTGCTATCATAGTTTTGAGGACACAGATCAAGAGTAACAAAACCGACTTCCTAGGTGGCTGTGAGGATGAAATGAGCTAATACAAAGCACTTTAAACATGACATGCATTTAATGTTAGCTATTGTTAAATATTAATGGTATTTGATATTAAATAATTTATTGATAACTTGTTAATAAATTATAATTAGACTCATACATTCAAATGGCTGACAAGTGACAAGTCTATGACTCACAGGCTCAGATGTCCTCAGAGACCGGTCAAGTATCTTTGATGTGCGAAGTAGAAATAACGAGACAGTTGGTTTTGATGGGGGCTGATCTAGAGAGAGTGCTCATCTCGAGGCTTGCCAATTAGAAAACAAAAAACATTATCTGCCAAACAAAACCTATTGCTGACCAGGTGGCCCTCGGTGCTAGTTTGCACACCCGAGAACACACTCCCTGTTCATGTGGCATCTACTTGGTGTGCCTGCTGCGTGCCTTGTCCTACTCTAAGCCCTGGGCATGCGGTGGTGACGCGGACAGACGCAGCCCTTCTCTTGCAGAGCTTCCTTGGCTTTGAGCTCCTTGAGAGCAGGGATGGCTTTTGTCTCGGGCTGCAGCAGGCCGGGGCTGGTTCAGCGCAGACAAGTACTGAGCGTCTCGCAAACAGACCGAGTGAATGCAAGCTCATTTAATCTGGACTGAGTACAACCAAGCTGACCCTTCCCCTCACCTAATGCTATCTAGCCATAGATGTCTAGATGGGGTATTTTTCACCAGCGCCTCACCCATCCTTAAAGGGTACCATTTCCTGCCAAACATATGTAAGATATAAATTCCTTCATTCCCTCGTTTTAATGTTTTGAATTTTCTATGTCGTCAAGTGACTCTTGTTCACGTTAGATGCTAAACTCCCAGAGTTTCCAGCCGTGTCGCCTGGCTGTGCCAACTGCATTTCATATCACATCACCCCCGTCCTCGCCAAAAAGAACATTTCAACTTTAAGATGACTGTCAGATTAATTTGTATGTCTTAGCGTTCCATGATGACACTTAAGGTTACTGGAACCAGCAGGTGCGTAGGCTTTGCGGCTCTCTGTAAGGTGTTTTGAGGCCAGTGCTAGTATATTCCATGACACTCTCCCACGGGAGCCATTCTAGGTGAGCCACAGAACTGGTAGTGATGCGACTCCGTGTTGTCCTTCAGATTGGCTTGGCGGTGGGGGATATTGCTGAGGTCCAGAAGCACGCGCTGCTGAAGCGGATTGCCATGCAGGTAAGTGCCATATTTATTTAACACTTGTTGACATGAGCACCGTCCTCATTATTCACGTGTAAGAATAGTTGGTGTCTGAGAACACAGCTGTTGAATATGGCGCATTCCCTCAGTGCTGGGAAACCCTGCTGTGCCTGCCCTAGTCAGAGGGTCGAAAATGGAATAAATTTCCTACAACAAACTCAGCAGAGAACTTGGGAAACTGCCTGAGCCTCTTTTTATGTCAACACGTGGCCAACCAGGTAGCCAGGCCCTGTCTTGTCGGTGGATGAGGGGAGAGGCAGGGGCCAGTGACCGGGCGCTGGTGACAGAGGACACCTGTCCAGCCCAGCTGCTTGGGCGTAAATCAGGACACGGGTCAGTTTTCGTTCGGCTGTCCTGACGACTGCTTCTGTGCAGCATAAGAGTTCCAGATGCTCATGCGTGTTTCTTATCCACAAACCCGCGACGCACGTTAGGTGGAGCTTCACACCAACCTGGAGAAGAAGCTGCCGCTCTGGTTCCTGCGCCAAGTGGATCAGAGTTCCATCATCGTGTACCCCAACAGGCCCAGATGCGGCGGAAGGATATTAGTGAGTACACGGAGCAAATGTAGATAATGCGACACCGCCCGGCGTCGTTCATTGTATCATCCCCGAGGCGCCCTTTTATAGACTTTGAGTGTCGCTGCCCATGGGAAACAAATAATTGTGGTCTAAAGAAAAGAGCATGATGGGAAAGCGATGGGCAGTGGCGGGTGGGGCGGGGCAGGGTGAGACACCTGTCAGTGGCTCCTCACAGCTCCAGCGTTAAATACGTACCAGGTCCCTGTGACAGCAGACGGGTGGGCGGGCCAGCTACACCCTTCAAGTATCTTTAATACGGTGCAGGTTTACCTTGTTTTTCCTAATCACGTGTCACTTACATACATACGCAGATACGTGTATGTGTCTATGTGCATACATAGGATACACACGTACCTATTCACAGATACACGCACATGCGTGCACGCACACACGGGGAGTATACAGACAGAAAACAAAGTGGCAAAGGCCAAGCCAGGCCACTGCATTATAGTGGAAAGGGACCATATACGGGAAAGGGACCAAGAGTCAGAAGCACTGGACACTAATCCTGGCTGTCCCTGGGCTCGCCGCTGTCTCCATGACTAGTCTGAGTTCTCCGCAGGTTTATTTCCCATTGTGCCCGTAACACAATAAAGTCGACCTAAGCGCAGCCTCCGCTTTGTTCTGATCTACGCCACCTCCCTACTGACTTCACTCGCAGCCGTGGTTGTGGTTACGTCCTGCACACAGACGCTCGGTCAGCATCCATTTCTCTGGCCTGGAGCTCTCAGAGTTCCAGGTCCCAGTCTCCAGATGTCACGTACACCTTCACTGGGGTGTCTCAGATGTCCCGCAACTGCAGCATGTTCGAAATAAGCTCATGCTCTTCACTTGTCCACTGTGCCCCTCCCTCCCGACACCCCTACAGGGGAAGAGTGAAAAAGCCCCATCCTTATGCCAGTTAATGGCCACACGGATTCGTTTGCCTGTGCAGGGTGTCGGCCTTGGCACCTGCACCCCCGTTTCCTCTCCCTCCACTTCCGGTCAGTCCCAGGTTTGGCCTTCTGACTGCCTGGGTGGCCTGTGCAAGTGGCCGTCTTCTCTTGCCCGGACTCCTCATTCCTGGTCATTTCACATCTGCCTTTGACCCCCTCAGAGATTTTTCCATGTGTAATTCAGTTATGTTGGATAATGGTGCAGAACAGTTTTAGAGAAATAACAACTAATCCTGTATGATATACCATCACTTATGATGGATATATATATATATATATATATATTTTTTTATTTGCATGGCTTGATTTTTTTTTTAATGCCTGGAAAAACTTTTTTCTTTTTTCTTAAGTTTATTGGGGTAACATTGGTTAATACAATTATATAATTTTCAGGTGTACATTATAATTTGACATCTATATATTCAATTATGTGATTACCATCCAGAGTCCAGTTTCCTTCAGCTACCGTATATTTGATCCCCTTTGCTCCTTTCACCCTCCTTCTACCCCCCCTATATTTGACTCCCTTTACCCTGTCTGCTTCTCCCCTCCTCCCCCATGCCCTTCCCTCTGGTAATCACTAGTCTATAGTCCATGTCCCTGAGTCTCTGTTTGTCCTGTTCATTTGTTGCTTTTAGGTTTATATCCCACATGTAAGCGATATCATGTGATTTTCAATTTTTTCTGTCTGGCTTATTTCGCTTAGCATGATTATCTCGAGGTCCATCCATGTTATCGCAAATGCCAGTATTTCATCTCTTCTTATGGCTGAGTAATGTTCCATTGTATATATGTACCACAGCTTCTTTAGCCAGTCATCTATCGTAGGACACTTCGGTTATTTCCACACCCTGGCCACTGTGAATAATGCTGCTATGAACATCGGTGTGGAAATATCTTTTCATATATGGGTTTTCAAGTCTGTGGGGTAAATACCCAGTAGAGGGATTGCTGGATCATATGGTAGATCAATTCTTAGTTTTTTGAGGAACCTCCATACTGTGGATGAACATTTTTATGAGACAATATTAAATGATTTGGTTAAACCTTTTCCTAAACAATCCTCTACTTCAGTTAACCCCTCCTATATTATTTATCTTGTACTGTCCTCTATTATAATATGCATGATTTTGCTATATTGCTCTTTACATGTCTGCTTCTCTCAAGAGACCATGAGCTCCGTGAGGGCCACGATGTGTTCTAGAATATTTGTGCTAGCATGCCTGGCTCAGTAGCTGAATTATAGCACGTGTTTAAGAAATAGTTCCTTAATTGAGTTTAACTTGACTAACTATGAATTCTTTATCCCATAGCGTATATTTCATTTTCTATGTCGCACCCAAGATTCAAGACAAGAAATACCAAATGTTGATACATCTTTAGAAGTAGAAATATTGAAGCAGAAGTACCGGTATGTATTTTTCCTTTTCTCTGTGTTTGAGAAACTTAAAACTCTTAAATAATGATGCGTCGGGTAAGGATATGTTGCATATTTGGGTTTATCTCATGTATTAAGGCATGCTTTAACTGACTGATACTGCTAGTAGATTGAGAATCATGAGAGATATTTTTAGACCCAACAACTTATTTGCCAACCAGTAGCGTAAGCTGCATTCCTCATGAGCCATCTGAATTCATACACTGAAACTGAAAGTTTTTGAGGATCCCCAGAGGAGCTATCTAGTATACAGAGGTTGAGCGCGAGGTCTTTGGGGTTCATCTACCTGAGTTCAAAGCCCTGCTCAACTATTTGCTAGCTGTCTGACCCTACATAAGCCACTTAACAATGCTGTGCAACAGTATTTTAATCTCTATAATGGGAAAAAAAGTAAACCAGCCATGAACCAACAGCACAACCATAGGAAAACCACTTAAACTTTAAAAATATGTGTTCTTTAGAAGGATTCTGACTACATGAGGCTGTCACCTGAGCACAGTTAATCTGATACAGGACACGTCTAGTACCGAGGCCTTTCTGCACTCGTAAGGGCTATAAGGATAACCGAAAATAAACTCGTGAAACATCTGTGTCCTTTTAGGATGAAGGATCTGACTTCTCTTGTGGAAAAACAGCACGAGCTTATTAAACTCATCATTCAGAAGATGGAAATCATTTCGGAGACAGAGGATGAAGATAATCATAGTTCTTTTCAAGACAGGTATAAAAAAGAGCAGTTAGAACAAAGGAATAGCAGATGGAATTCTGTGCTGAAGGCAGTAAAGGCAAAAACTCAGTACCCTTAGCAGTAGCCACCTAAAGCAGCAGTTTCTTGTGTATATATTTCTTGTATATTAAACACAAATATAGAAATACACGCACTGGGTCTAGTTTCCAATATGGAAAGAATAAAAAGTAGAAATCTGATTGCATTTCACTACATGTAAAGCCATGGTTCCTGCAATCCTTTGTAAGAGTAAACTATCTCTCTCTATTCATATTTTCTGCCAGTCACTCTGTATTGGGAATATCCCAATATGTTCAAGCTGATATGTTCAAGTTGGACTTTACCTCTCATTATTTGATTGGTAGAAAGTAATTTGCTAGAATACACATTTTCAATGATAAGGAGTAATAAATGAAACTGGTATGCTAGAATACAAATGTCAGTACTGGATTACTGCTTGGTAATTGTGTAACACGCAATGCATTAAACAGGTGAGACTTAGATTGGGTTCTACCGTTTCGCATGCCTTGTTTGTGCTGGACGATCCTGCGGGTGGAACCCTGTGTACTCTGTTCCGACCATGACAAATGGTCCCGCCCTTCTTGCTGCTCCCAGCACACCTCATGCCACTTCGAGCTGAGGCTTGAATTAACAGACCTTATGATATGCGTGAATTTTACTATAAATAGCAAGTGTTGGGTCTGTATTTTTTGTTTGTCAACGATCATAATAAATGTAAAACCTATATGGTCAGCCCAGTGATTATTGCTTGAGCCATTCTTTGTATTTAGTTTTTTGAGATTTGCAAAAATGTGTCTGTCGCGCGTGCCCTTTTTCCTTTTGATGTCCAGTACAAAGATCACATGCCTCATCATGGATCTTTTCAAGGTGCTTCCCCTCGTTTATTTTTTTCCCCTTTATCCCGATTCTTGTGTTAACTCCCTCATCGCCCCCATGAGATACACACTCTTAACAACTCTCTTCGGCCACGTATGTCTTCTCTGAGGTTGAACAGTGTTGGTTTGGGTGTGTTTTTATTTACATAGGTGTTATTATGCTACGGTTCTTATTCTCTTATCTCTTTCTACTGGACCTTATGTCTACAAGATATGACGGTGCTACCATCTGTCCATCTAGTTCAGAGTGTCTAACAGCTGCTCGCTAGCATGTGCGCGCCCCTCATTGGATTCATCCCGTCTTCAGAGAGCGACATGTTGGTGGCCTCCGCCTCCTGCTACCACACATTCTCAAACATACACTCATACAAACAGGCAGAGTGCTGAATGACAATATGCGATATGAGAAAACCAGACAGTTTTTCATTTGCGGTCTAGTTTGGTTCCAAAATGTCTCAGATACAACTTATGGACTTGATATAACCTCACTGTCTTATCAGATTGTGAGTAACCTTTTACAAGTTGTAAAAACTCAAATAGGCAAATTCCTTCTTTTAATATGACTAAAAGAGATGGACACTGTATGCCTAGATAGTTCTTTCACTGGTCGGATATATCTGATTTCAAGTGATGGTGATTTATAAGAAGATGGTGTAAATAAAACATCTGAAGACTAGATATAAATATTAGTACATAGAAGAATTTCCCAGATTTTCTTTCTATCTGCTAAATGTTTTTAGGCCATAGATTTATTTTAAAGGCTGATTCTTAACGGTGATGAGATTTAAAAGGCAGCCTGGAAGTGAGTTGCATCCTTCCAAAATAAATAATAATTGGCTACAGTGGGAGCAGTTTTTTTTCTTAATCTATCAAAAGTACATCTAAGAAACAATTAACTTTAAAAACCACTTGGTCAGCTCACGCAGTGCATGCAGGCCCAGGGTCTGAGAGGGGCCAGTAGCCCCGGATCCCAGGCGCCAAGCCTGCCATGGAACCCCATAGAGTGGCACCTACTTGCTGCAAGGTCCGAAGTGCCATTAAGGAGAAATTGCAAAAATCAGGAGCTGGAAAACCTCCTGATGACATTAAGAAATGGGGTCTAACAAGCAGAATCAGAGCCAAATGACAGAGGACCACTGTCACAGTTCTGTTCACTAAGTGGCTTCATGATGAGTAAACTTCGCTCTGTTACCACTGAACCCTCGGGTCTGAAGTCTCTGATCTCAACGTCTTGGACACTAACTTGCCTTCGAGCAAGAGCAGTTTCAACATCTGAAAAGGGGTTTCACTGCCCCTTCCAAACAAGCTTCTAAGTCCGGTTTTGAAACAACACTGAAGCTCAGGAATTGGTTACAGCAACAACCAAGTCTTCTGCAGCCCCACAGAAAGTTGTTCTCAGGATGCAGATTTCTCATCGAGACCTGCTGCAGGCGTGGGCCGGGGACGAAGCAGGACCCTAGGTTTAAGTCTTCACCTGGGGACTTCCACAACATACGGAAAATACGGGAAAATACGGGAAAATACGGAAAAATCAACTGGCTTAACCAAGGCAATTGTCTTCCTGCCTACAAATCGACTCAGCAACAGCAAAACCCCCAGAGAAAACAGTAATTAGCTGCAGAATTTAAGTTCATAGGGATATATGCTATGTCCACATTCCAAAAAAGAATTCTAAGAACTGTTTACTAGTGAATATATTGAGAATTACTACTGAAGATAATTTTTGAAATGTAGAATATGATTTAAACAATTATTACAAGTGACAGAGTTTGATGTTAGTTACACAAATCAGATGGGCAAATGGAAAATTAGGACCCTACATTTGGGCTGTTGTGTTAATATACAGTTTTATGCGTATAATTTAAAGTTTTTACAAAGATAAGAAGTATCGGATGCTTTTGAATTAAAGAAGAGATGCATCACTGATAAAAATAAAATAACAACTTAGTCACTAAGCAGCTATCATAACCTTCAAAGAAGATTTAAGGCAACACAAACAAAAATACACTGACTTAACCTTACCACGTAAATATTCTAAAAAGTCAGCTCTAGACAGCGGCTTCAACTCTGCACTGCTAATGACACTTGTGACCCACAGAATTCCCAGCTGCATTTGGCCTGTCTGCATTGCACTTTTAAAACGAGTTAGTAAAAGGCAAACTCTCTGTTCCTCTGGTGCCGTGTGTATATATTGTAGCTATTTCAGGATATAAGGTAATGGGGGGAAAAGCACCTTTTGTTTCATTTTTCACCATAATGAGGAAGACCATTTAGCCCATGTGACAATTCCACTAGATAAGAGCAATAAAGCACGGGCTGAACCATGAAAGGAATGTTCCTAAGGTTCTATTGGGCACTGCATAGCTGCACTATGATATCTTAAAACATTCTTAACTGATCATGCCTGAGCCGACACTTGGGAACAAGAGACACCTTGAATGCTTACTCATCGATAAAAGTTCCAGGAGATGGAGAATGCTGGAGCATGGATGTGTAAGCCACAGGACACAGATGTTCATGGGAAAATGACTAACTCATTCATACCTTTCCACTGTGTGCATTTTGAAGACCAAGCCAGTGCTATGTAATTGTAGGTTATACCTTCAGTAACAATCAGTGACGGCTCTGACAACTTATAAAAGAAGTCAAACTGTCCGCATTTCATAGCCAAGGGTGGTGAACGGGGCATGGAAAACATGGTAAACATACTAAATCACTCATTTTCCCTAGCAAGAAGTCAATTTTATTCAAATCAAAGTTAAAGATACTGTTTCATAGCTGGCATTTGAAAATTAGAAATATAGGTTAGATAATTTCATTGAAAAATTATAACCACAAATATAATTTTAAAAGAATACATTACTTATCATACATTAAAAAAAGAAAAACAAGTAATATAAAAAAAAGTTTTAAATAAAGGAAAAACATCGAGACCCACAAATCCAAAAATATAAACAAGACTACACAGATAAAGCGAAACCTATAAACCTTGACAACACATATAAACATCAGTAAAAGGCAAAATACTCCCCGTTTGCATTAAGAAATTTAATTACCAGAGAATAATCTAAAACTAGCATTACCAAAAAGAAATCGAAAAATGTAAACAGCAAGAGTGACAAACACAAAGAACTCAAGGGAAAAATTATGAAATTTCGGAAAAAATATTGCTTTATACTGATAAAGGTTTTGATCTATTAGGAAGTCATGAGTTATTAACCTTTTTGTTTCAAATAAGTTATCAAAATATGTCAAAGCTATAATTGGTAGAAATGAATCATCGGTAGAAATATTGTGGGAGAATCTTATCACGCCTCCATTAGGCTAATCCCAGCTCTACATTTATGAATTGTGTGACCCCCAAAGGTCATTAAAACACAGTTGCCAAGCAACCGAGAGAGAAGAGTCCGCTAGGCCAAGGTGGTCAGCAGAGAGCAGCAGCTGCCACGCTAGCACAAATGCCAGAATTAGGGCCCCAGACTGGAACTGGACCTGGTCAGAGAGATGGGTCTGTAGGAGATGGGAGAGTGTGTGGGCCTCTAATTATCTGGTTATATTTTGTAGTGCTGTCTCCTCACCTGACCCAGTTTAACCTCTTTTTATCCCAGTTCACTTCCCCCCTTCTATTTTCTGACATTAATATCCCTTTTTGAATAATAAAGAGTTTCAAAACATTTCATGACCCATGCAACTTGAGTTTGTGGGGTAAAGAGAGATAACAGTACATAATCTGAACCGATACTGGGCCTGGCTTTCTTCCCCTCACACCTGAATTATAATGATAAAAATTAAGCTCCCTTAGTCCATATGCCACGTGAGGGGCCATTTAACCATCCCTGTGTCCCTTCCCCAGTGAATCCGCCATCAAACCTTCAGCCGCATGACACCTGCCCTGGAAGCTATTCGCATTTCGCGTCCTCTCTCTGCTCCCTCCAAAGCTTGCTCTTCACATGGCTTTGTCCCATATTCTCCCGTCCCCTCTAAACGCACTCTCGTTTCAACAGCTGGTCCTCACAGTGAGGAGGATATGCTTCGCTGGCGTCCTTTGCTCTTTCTCTGGGGTGTCAAATACTTCTTCTTGACTCACTTGTGTCTTGGTGCCTTGCTATTCAAAGTGTGGCAGCATGAGCGTCCCCTGAGAGCTTGTTAGAAATGCAGAATCTCAGACCCCACCTGAGATGCA